AAAATAGATTGTTGTACATGGAAAAAAAATCCTCTGAAAATAAGCCCTAGTGCTTTTTTTTGAGCAAAAATTAATATAAGACCCTGTCTTATCAGGGAAACACAGTCTTAGGCAGCAACCTGATCTTGCCTTCATTCTCTTTTTCTCTCTCAGTCTCTTTAGTTCTTTCTATGTTCTTTATTCTTTCGATAATCCTGTCACAAAATGTCATGTATGAAAATAACTTTAGATCCTAGAACCCAGCTAGCCTGACCACAGGCCTTCTTCATCTCTTCCTTGTAACCCATCTCTCCATGGTATGGCTTCAGGGCAAGCCAAAGCATGCCTTGTGTTCTCCGATACAGATTATAAAGGGAGAGGAGGAGGAGGAGGAGAAGAGTGGAGTAGGCCTATGGAAAAAAAAACCATCCAACCCTCACTTTCCTCTTTTGCCTGAGATCAAAGATTCCTAGTAAATCATCCATAACGCTCTGTGGTCTCTGTGTGTGCTTGGATTGGACCTGCATTGAGGCATCTTAGACGCTATTAAAAAAAAAAGAGGACTGCCAGTGAAGCCACGCTTGGCGATACACTTTAATGGCCGATGATGTCCTTGCTTCACTCTTTGTCCATATCCAAGACAGAGCTTGCTGGGGGGGGGGGAGAAAATAAGGGATGCAAGTCTCACCCATAGTTTGTATTTGCATATATAATGAGCATGTGAGAGCAAACTCATCTCAGCATTTCCGGGATGCCCCACAGCTCTTGTCATCAGATGCCTATGTCTATTCAGACTGTAAAAACAGTGTTTCTTTAGTCGATTGGAGTTCCTGGGTGCAGAACCAGAAGCCAAGAGTTCAAACCCCTGCTATGCCTCCTGCAAGGAGGGCCAGCCAAGATCACCTGGAGCATGTGTGGCTGATAGAGTTACATGACCTGTCACCTGTTTGGCCTTGGGCAAGGTGCTTGGTCCCAGAGTGGCACCATAATGTGTGGCTGATAGAGTTACATGATCTGTCACCTGTTTGGCCTTGAGCAAGGTGCTTGGTCCCAGAGTGGCACCATAACAAAGGACTGGTAAACCCCTTCTGAGTACTTCATACCTACAAAATCCTTGGAGGGTTGCAGTAAGTTGAAATTGGCAGCACATAGTAATTATAAAGCAAATGTCTCCCACCAGTGCTTTATTATTTTATCCAAAGAGTAGCCAGTCCTTTTGGCAAAAAGTAAAAGTGCACAAAGGAGGAGAAAGTTTTTGCAGCTATTAGAGTTGTGTAGATTTAACAGTGGTTCTCAGCGACTGGTCTTCCAAATGCTTTGGACCACTCCACAACGATCCCTGATCTTTGCCTGTTCTATGTAGGGCTTTTGAGAGTTGAAGTTCAAAAGCTAGAGGCCCAAATATTGAGAAGCCTATCATAGAAAAAGGGACTTCAGAAGGTATAATATATTCTGCAAGATATACCTGCTGAAATTCCTTTTTCTACACAACAATTAAAGGGGCAGGAATTCCACTCTGTTTTGGACCCGTCTACTATATCTCATGTGCCACAAGTGAAGCCCAAAGCAGGGACACCCTAGTGCCCTGGAATGGGTGGCATATGTCCACTGAAGCAAGGGAAAGGGGATTAGTATAATGTTCAAGCACACTTGTCTATTTATTATCCACTGGAGAGCTGAAAAGGCTCTTAGAGCAACATAGATGTTGTTTCCAGAAGCAGCTTTGTGTCTCCTCTCAGAGTCATTATCTTAAAAGACACAGCACAAAAGGAAAGCAGGATGGGGAGGGAAAAGGAAAACAAACCTAAACTAGTGTTATGCCATAGGCTATGCATACAGGTCATTTTTTCCTAGATATCAGAGGCTCCTTACCTATGTTACCTTGTAGCATCAATCCCACAGGTTCAGTTCCCGTAATCTAGTCTATTGGCTTTTTCAGGTCTTCAAATTCAGCTTCATATGCTCATTTTAATGTTGTGTGGACTATAGCAGTGAATTTAATAATTATCAGCAAATGTTAGATCTAGGACTTCTGAACCCAGGCTTGGCTTTCATATTCCTAAAGTATTTGGTGCCCCCTAGAGTTGCCAAGCATATTGGAACACTGACATTTCTGCATGCTTGGAGTGGAAGGGAAGGATGATGAATTCATACATTCAGAGCTTGCAGATGTTATCAGATGCCTTGTAGATAACAACTCCCAGAAATCTTCAGCCAAGATTCTGGGAGTTGTAGTCCCAAAATGTAGTATTCAAGTTCTCTATGAATGTGCATTTCTCTCTCTCGTGTGTCACACATCGTTTGCATTTCCTTTGCCCAAACTGTGCTTTTTGCACCATTACTATCACTGATGACACATTTTATCTGTCAAAATTTAACGCAAACACAAATTTAAAATCTAAGCATAAAGTGTTTTTGACTTTTATTTTTGTAATCGGAAAACAGTACTTTAAAAGAGCAGCTGAAATTCTAAGTGTATAATCCATTGAAAAATGTCCTATGCAAGCTCCTCTGAAATAAAGGCCCCAAACCATGTTAATTTCAACTTGTGGACTGTGTCCCTTCTGTCAAGAATGCTGATGTGTTATGGCAACAATATAAATTTTACTTTTTGAAATGTCAATTTACTTTTTTACCATTACACCTTAATTTGTTCTTTCTGCAATTCAGAACTCTATTGTACATACATACACAGGGGAAACATTTAATATATACTTTTGAATGTTTGAAATAATTCCTAGTTTGCTTTACAATTCCTCTCTTTAAAATTAATTTCATAATACAGTTGCCCAAGCATTATGGGTACTGTTTGGCTACAAAGCAATACAGCGGTACCTCAACTTGAGAACGTCCCTACATAAGAACGATTCGAGTTAAGAATGGCTCCGTTCACAAAAAGTTGCTTCGACTTCAGAACGGAGTCCTGACTTAAGAACCAAAAACAGGGAAACACCCCCCCCCTTTTCCTGGCCTTTTTTTTTTTTTAACCAAAGTTCACCTTAGGTCAAAAGAAGAAGAAAAAATTCTCCCCCTAGTGGTAGATACAGATTAACCGGCTTTGCATTAGTTCCTACGGGAACTAATGCTTCGATTTAAGAACAGCGCCTAGAATTAAGAACAAAAAACAGCAGATACGGATTAAATGGTTTTCAATGCATTCCTATGGTAAATGGTGATTTGACTTAAGAACTCAGATCCAATACAGTGGGGTCTTGACTTAAGAACGGCTTGAGTTAAGAACATTTTGACTTAAGAACCACTCTCATAGGAAAATATTGACTTGACTTACATACTTAGATTTGAGTTAAGAACTGAAAAAAACCATGTGGGAGGCAGGGAAAGTGCAAAATGTGAACTTTCAGTTAACTGTTGGCCGGTGAAAAGGGTGCCTGTCTGCTTCCTCACTCCTCCCAGCGTTTAGAGAGTGGATTGGGAGACAGTCTTCGGACTGCCTGGTATTGTACTGCCTGGACTGTATTTTCCCTGCCTTCCCTGAACCTTTCTTGACCTAAGAAAAAAAGAAACAAAATATCCCCCTCTAGTGGTCGAAGGCGGAATAGCAGCTTCCCATTAGTTTCTACGGACGGAAAAGAGCAGATACGGATCAAATGGTTTTCAATGCATTCCTATGGTAAATGGTGCTTTGACTTAAGAACTCAGATCCAATACGGATTAAGTTCTTAAGTCGAGGTACCACTGTACAGGAGTGCACTTAAGTTCCTTGAAATCAGTAGCTTTTAATGTGTTTAAGTTCATGTTGGATTGCAGCTTATGAAAAATTGTTGTTACATGCCTTCAAGTTGCCTCCAATTTGCACTGACCCATGAATGAGTGATCTCCAAAATGTCCTGTCCTCATGCTTTTATGAATTCAAGGCTATAACTTCCCTTATGGAGTTAATCCAATTCACATTTGGTCCTCCTCTTTTCCTGCTACCTTCAACTTTTCCTAGCATTATTAACTTTTCCATCCAGTCTTCCCTTGTTATGATATGCCCAAATGCTTTGTAATGATATGTCCAAATTAGGACAGCTTCCGTTCTGTCACTTTTTATTTCAGAAAAAGTTCAGGCTTGATTTGATCTAACCCCTGTTTATTATTCCGGCAGCACAAAGTATCTATAAAACATTGTTTCAGCACCATATTTCAAACGAGCCATTTCCCCCCGCCAGCTTTCTTCATTATCCAGCTTTCACACGAGAATACAATAGTGTGGATGATCTTGGCCTTGGTTTCCAGTGACACATCCTTACACTCAAGGATCTTTTCCAATTCTTAGGCCAAATAAAATCTGTTAAGTTTTTAAAATAGTACAAGACTTTTTTTTTTTTGCTGCAACAGGATATTGCTGTTCCTTTCAACAAGAAATTCACATAGATACATATTACTGATGCTAAATTATCATAAAGGCCAATACTGAAAATGGATAAAAGGAATTAATGCATAACGTTTGCAAATACTGTATACATGGAGAGAGAGAATTCTCCAACCTATAGTTACAAATACAGTACACTCTACTAAACCATCGGAAACGTAAACTGGGCCTTCGGTATCTTGCATATCTCCTGGCTTATTATCCAATGCTTCCTTTTAAAAAAAATCTGGCTCTCCGATTATTCCTTAAAGTGCAGCCATTTCTTCCCAGTTTCCGATCAAAATGCTGCCCGCGCTCTAGAACCCATGAGCATTCATTCCAGGTGTGTAGGTGAAGCTGAATCACCTTTTCCTATTGGCTTCTAGTCGAATAATTCTTCTGCGTTTCGACCAATCAATAGGCCTTCGAGGTGAAATCCCGCCCCTTTATTGAGCTCTGTGCGCTTGTTTGTTTCTTCCCTCTTCTTCCTCTCAGGCCCTTGTCTATAATCAATGATCGGCGTGACACTGTTCTCAATACCCATTGGCGGTTGTGTTAATCAATCTGTGATTCCACGCAAGCGATAGGCGTTTGGCGTTATGTCCGTCATTGTCAAAACGGCTCGTTTTCATTGGCTAAACTCTGCTGTACAGTGAAGGCCAACGATTGGGAGGATGAGACGCTAATCGTGCCTGGGACGTCCGCCTATACGAACAAGCTGAAGGCTGATTGAGCAAAGAGTATAGAGACCGATCAGAGATTGGCTGCTCGTCAATAGAGTAGGCGGGCCTTACAGGGCGGTGCCCGGGTAGCTGAGGAGGAGGAAGATGGCGCCGTGAGGGGGGTCCGAGCTACTGCCGCCTCCTCATTCTTGTCGGTGAGTGAGCCCAGCGGGGAGGTTTCGGGACTGTGGAGAAGTGGGTGGAGAAACCAGGAGATGGAAGCGGGTGTCGAGTGGAGGAAGAGGAGGGGTCTGCGAAGTGGGAGGGGGCCTTCCAAGGAAGGGGGGACCGGGCGCGCAAACGGGACTGAAGCAACTGGGACCGGAAGGGGGCGGGGCTAAGAGGAGAGCCCGCCTTCTCGGGGGACCCATAAGGATATGCAGGCATGGGCAACTAGGGAGAAGGGGTGATATTGGCACTGACCAGGACGGGGGCGGGTGGGGAGGAGGAAAAACGGAAAGGGCCTAACAGGGACATCCAGATGGCGGTTGGCAACGCTGCTTATCTCCCTTCCTACTAGCTTTGTCTTTAACAGTAGTTTGAATTACAGCTGGTGAAGTATTTTGTAGCAGTGTTCTCTTAAAACAGGGGAAAAGCGTAGATTCCTTTATAAACCTCTGTTATGTAAGGCTGCTCGTAGTAGTAGTCATAGTGGATGATTGATAGCTCTGGCTGCAAGCAACGAAAAGGGGTACATGGAGAGAAAGTGAAATTAAATGAAAAAGGTGACTGGCACCAGAGGATGATAGTAGAGAGTGAGGTAGTACTGCATGGAAAGGGTGGAGATGAATAGGGGAAGGAGAAGTTAGCCAATATTTAATGTACTAAGTAGTGAGGTTTGAATTCCTACGTGCCATTGAAGTCAACATAGATAACTTGATGGTGTACTGAGGAGTGTGCATTAGGAGCTTAGGGGGATGCAGAGGAATGGGCACTACAAGTTTGAGGGTAGTGAGCAAAGGAGACTATAGGATGCCAGAGATATGGAGCTGGGGACAATTACATGAAAGATAGGCTTTGGAGAGAGGAACATGGCCTTTGGGCTCAGATAATGGGGAGAAAGAGTGAGATGTAAGTACAGAGGGAGGCATGTAGTTAGTACGTGTATGCTTGGCAGTGTTCTCAGACCTGAGAAAAATTGAGGTTATTAAGTTGGCAAGCACTGAAACAGAATGATAATGTAGTTAATAGACTATGTTCTTGGAATAGTCTATGTCCCAGGAATCCTGGCCAGCAGAGATGGTGGTGAAGACTTCTGGGAATTGTGAAGCAAAGCGTGCTGCTTATATACTACCCCATAGTGCTTCAAGCACTCTCTAGGTGCTTTGCAAGTTAATTATGCTGGCTACACATTGCCTCCCCAGCAAGCTGGGTACTCATTTTACCGACCTCGGAAGGATAGAAGACTGAGTCAACCTTGAGCTGGCAACCTGGGATTGAACCCCAGGTCGTGATGACAGTTTTGGCTGCATGCAGTACAGCGGTTTAACCACTGAACATCTGGAGGCCCAAGGTTGGGGACCACTGCATTAAAGGACATGAAGTGAACATTAGAAGGAGGGATTAGTAGCTGATTACAGTATAACATAAGATAAATGGATGCATGGGGAGAGTAAGTATGAATTTTTGGTTCTCAGCACTGTGTAGTCCTAAGTGTGGGGACAGTAAAAGATATGGAAAGATGAGTTTGAGGTTAGGGAACAATATTCAAAAAATTCAGATTTTGAAAGAATGAGCAACAAATGAAGATCGACATTACAGTGACAGAATTCAAAATGTTAAATGAGCCATTTGATATTTTGGGATAGATTGGTTCAGAAAATGCATATAATTTAATAAAAGACAGCTGCTGCTGAGTTTGGAGAATTAAATTAGACATACAAGAATGAACTGTTACCTCATTTTTGTTTTGAGAGAATTGTAGTCATTAAAATAGAAATGTTATCTAAGATCCTATTTCTCTTCCTTACTATGCCATTTGTAGTGCCATAAAATGTGCAGATTCCCTACACTGGATCTTCAAGTTTTGTCATATTGGATAATGAACACACAACTACTGATTCCGAGTGGTGAATGTGGGGTCTGCTGTGTGGCAAACTTAGATAGCAGAAGGGGCAAAGATTATATAGTTGCATGGTGATTCCAGCCACATTTGAACTAAGAATTCTAGAGAAAGTTCAGGTTGTTCTGCAGTTAAATTACAAAAATATACAGAGTCTTGGCCCGCAGCTTCCCTACACCAGCAGGAGAAGATGGGAAGAGTTAGATTCTGCTTCCTGAAAACATTTTTGAGTTTTTTCAAACAGTGGTGTTCAGCCAAGCAGTTTTTTCACCATTCTTTTTCATATGAAAAAGCCAGTATGTGAGAGAGCATTTGATGATACCATCTGAGTGCACTTTGAGTAGCTTCAAGCAGTAGAACTGAAACCACCATGCACTCTTCTCCAGTCTCTTCCTAGAATAAAACCATAGAAGAGGCGTGCCTAGCTGGAAAAGTGGTGAAGGCTTCATCAGGCCAGCTGTGCATGTCCAAACCTGTAGACTACTGATAATGGCCAAAATCCTGTTGTTTGGTTAGTATATTTCATTAAAGTAAGCTTGGTGAGTTCATGCAGATTTGGTAAGTCAACTACCCTCTATGTTCCATTGATTCAAATTGTGACTTGCTTTAGTTGAAGGATTTTGTAAATCCTTATTGATTTAGTGGTCCTACTGCAGTGCAACTGGCTGTGCTAAGTAACAGGACTTTGGCCATTATCAAGAGTCTACAGGTTTGTCTTAGAATCTTATAGGTCATTTCTACTTTATAAATATGTATACATTTTTAATCTTACCTTTTGTCCTTCTCCACTCCTCATCGCTTTGTTGTTCACATCTGATTAAGGAGGTGAGACTGCCAAAAGGGTACATTTCAATCAGTTTTTTAGCCCTTATGATGCCACAGAAATCCTTAGCCACCCTTTTGGAATTTATCCCATTATCAATGGGGTGATGATAATAATAGTAATAACATTAGAACTTCAGATCTGGAAGGCACCCTATGGACAGTGAAGCCCAGCCCCTATTAGGCACAATGGGGAATTGAACCCCCAACCAGAGACCACTGAGCTATCCAGGAGTTCAGATGTTAAAAGTTAGCAAGGCTAGGCTTCATCCTCCTTTAAAAACCAGGTCCTTCAACCATTTCTTACACTTTGGGTGGCTTATCATCCATGACTTGCAGGCAGTTACCATGTTAGAACTCTTCCTTTTCTGGTGTGAACTTATTCTAAGGAGAGGAGGTTTCATAAACCATCATGTCTAATAACTGTCCTTTTGATAATCTGTGCTACTATGACAATATGCGTTCTGAGATTGTATTGCCCCCTTCACCTGTGTTGGAAGATGCTGCCTCATAATCTGTGCTATAGTAAGTTTCAGCTGGCAGCTAGGGTTTAGTATATGAGATGAGAAAATTCTATTTTTGCCTTTGCCTCAGATAGCAAAACGTCTGGAGCCAGTCCTGATAGAAAGTTGAGTTGAAAATGATAATTCCTGCCATTAGTCGTCTTGGTTTTTGGGCAGTTATGAAATTGTCCTGTTTGATGTAAGTTTATATGCAAGGTAAGATGTCATGAAGAAGCCTGGCAACCTGCTACATATAATGGAATTGTTGGAATAATAGAACTTGATTTGCAGTCAGATTAATTGGCTTAATTTCTCTGGAAAAGCATGGCTACTGTTTTTCAGATTGCTAATTGTTTTCTGCCTCTTCCTAAAGAAGAATGTGTAATCTTTTTACTTCTGATTCACTGGGATAAATGTTGGCCATGTTCTTATATATATTCAAGTATATAGGAGACCGAAGCAACAAAGACCTTTCACACTCCCTCTGAGTGTCTGCAAAGAGGTTTTTACCCAACGTATCCTAACTTTTCAGAGCATGCATGCTTTTTCCTGTATAAGAGTTGGTTAAAGTAATTTTTAAACCTTTTGGTGAAAGATAATATGCAGGCTTGTTAACTGAATGTGGTTTGAGGATTTGGCTATTGCCAGCCATGTATGTTTCAATGTCTTATCCTCCAGGAAAATCTGATTAGTTTCATTCAGTGTAGTTCAAGTAAAATGCCACCTCCCCATCAGCAGGGTTCATATTGTCTTTTCCTGAACAGGTGTTCTGTACTCACAGCTCCATATGGCAGAAACCAAAAAGCAGCACAAGTGGGAAGCAGTCAAAACGAACAATATATTACCTGTGCAGAAAGAAAGCCATGTGTTTGTTTTAAATATGAACAGAGAGTATTTTTACAGGGCTCAGTTGTAGCTTATTGTTGTTATTAAGATGTTTTTGTTTAATTTTTTTCATTTTATTTGTTATATCCTGCCTATGTCTCAACAAAGGAATTTTTAAAGTATTTAAAATGCACAACTAAAATACAATAAATTTCAATATTAAAAATAATTAAAATATTAGAATTAAAATTACTGAATAAAAGTGTTTAAAACAATTTAAAAATACATTTTAAAAAGATACAAAATACAGCTTCACTGTTAGAACTGCTTTGTTAGCAGCCAGTTGGTTGCTAAAAGTTTGCTGAAAAAGGTGTTTGCTTGCCAATGGAAATATAGCAAGGAAGGGATTATGGGAGGGAGCTCCACATCCTGCAGTAGCTGTCAAGAAACCATAATCTTGTATCCTCAGCAGGCATGGCTTGAGCTTTTTCACACTTTTTTTTTACAGGATATAAGTACAGTATGTCTCCACTTCAATTCAATTATCCTGGGTGCTACATTCTATGTTACAGGCGTACCTCGGTTTACACAATTAATGTGTCCTCCAGGACGTTACGTAATGCAGAAATTTCGTAAACCAATATGCGAATTGTGTGAGGAATGGATACGGCATTAGAAACCTCCAGGTGCAATGCATCCTGGGGAGACTCTTTTGTACAGCAGGAAAAAAAGAGGAAAAAAACGTAAGCCACGGCATTATATTCTATGGATTTTGGTTCATAAACCGAAAATTACGTAAACCAAGGTTTTGACCTGTGTTAGTGCTTCCACACATGGCTCTGATTCAGCTTACCACATGATGGCTAGCAGCTGGGAGTTGGATCACTGTTTGGAATGTTGTTCATGCTGTTAGACAAACCATATGGGTAGAACTCTTTTAGTAATTTGGAAATGGCTATCAAAACAATGGTAATCTTGAAAGTTGTGATAAATTTAAAAGGGATGTTGGCTATTACCCTACCCTGCGTTTATACTAGTCATTGTTGCTATGTGTATCCCTTGTTGGGAAAGACCTGCTCTACCATGATGCTTACCAAGGTAAACCTGGAAATTGGCCTCTGTCATCTGAAGGTATCATTTTTTGGCTGAAATCTTGTTGCTTAGCACAGTAAATTGCACTAAAGAAAGCCCATTGAATCAGTGGGGATTTGGTGAGTCAACTGCTCCATACGTTCAGTTAATTCAAATGGACCTACTGTAATTCTAACTTACTTTAATATAATAATTCAGAGTAGGCTTGTTTGGATCATTTGAACTTATAGAGGAATTCACTTACCAAATTCCTACTTATCCAGTGAGTCTACTCTAGTGCAATAGTACACTAAGCAACAGCATGTCAGCCAGCTGTTCTTTCTTCTGGTCTCATCTCACACTTAACATCAAAAAAACTAAAGAACTCATAATTGATTTTAGGAGGAAGAGAAATGTACATTTACCACTGTACATAAACGGTGAGGAAGTGGAGAGAGTTGGTAGTTTTAAATTTCTGGGTACTTACATCTCAGAGGACCTCTCATGGACTATAAATGCCAACATGCTAATAAAGAAGGCACAGAAGAGGCTGTATTTCCTGAGAATGCTCGGGAAGTTAAATTTATCACAGCATTTACTTCTGTCCTACTACCGTAGCACCATTGAGAGTGTCCTAACTTATGGCATTCTGGCATGGTTTGGGAGTAGCTCTGTAGCGGACAAAAAAGCTCTACAGAGAACCATTAAAATTGCCCAGAATATCATCGGGCTCCAGCTACCAACCCTGGATGACATCTTCACATCCCGCTGTCTAAGGAAATCACATAGCATCCTGAGAGACTCTTCCCATCCTGCTTATAACTTTTTTGAACTGTTACCATCTGGCAGAAGATATAGAACAATTAAGACTCGGACCACACGTTTTCTCAATAGTTTTTATCCCAGAGCTATAATTGCAATTAATAATCAGCTTAAAGACCACCAGTAGTGAATAATTAGTTGGACTGTGTAACTTGGCCTGCGGTGTAGATGTTTGTATTTTTAGTGGGGGACTTTTAGTGGGTGGGGAGTGTT